GTGATTTTCTACTAGCAGTAGGAGAGTATAGCATGGCATGTAAATTTCAGATGTCTTCTGCATTGTTTTTCCTGCATTTAGTTTGGGTTTTAGGCCTTTATGTTATGTCCACTTTTCTTATTATAGATCTCCCAGTGACAGAACATGATCACAGCTGCATATGTAGATATAGTTGATTGACTTAGATTATTCTGTGATTAAGATTAGCTATTTGAAATGGATCCACCTAAGTAGGACCCCTTCACCTCAAGGACAGGGACAGATCAGTGTTTATGAAACCATATGCTCATTCAGAATACAAGTTGATGGACAATATCCAGAACCTTAGTGATCCAGATATGTAATTTCTGACTTGCAGTTTCTCAATACACTACTCATTCCTTGAGGAGTTACTTTTCTACAATAATATTTCATAATTAATCTCCTTTTAGGAGGTGGAATAACTCATTGAGTGTAGTGAGTGGATTTCATAGCACAGTATTGACATAAAAGAATGTTGCTTTCCTTCTTAGAGCGAACGTGCATCCATCAGGCAGCAGATAGTACCGGAAGAACGACACAATTGGATCGAGGAATTGTCCACCCCTGGTCCACATGGACATAATTCGTGGGTCCTCAGAGGGGCCTGTCCTACATCACCAAGACACCATCCTAACACCAGCAACAGAGGGAGATGAGAATACATGCCAATAGCCACTGCAACATATAATTTTCTAATGACTAAATACAAGCTAATATCTGAATATGAAATTGGTTATACGTCCTTTGAAGATGGGACGTAGTTGAAGTACAGTAACAGTGAAGCAATGTGCGTGATTAAATTGGCAGAGTAACTTAAATGTGGGAAATGTATGGAGTTATCTAGTTCACAGTTTTTGTATGTTTGCTTCTGTTCTAGACACTGGAAACTTTTCTTATTAACCCTTTCACTGCTAGTATGTTAAGTAACTCTCAGTACCCTCTGTGCTGAATTATTTTTGAATATATAATTTAAGTGCATAAGTATGAAAATTTGTGATAAAAAGTAACTAATCTTACCTCAGACAGGACTTTACATGAAAAACAAGTGTTCAAAATACGAGCTGAAACTTAGTGCTGCACTGTGTGAGCCACATACAGACTTCAGCGACATGTGACAAATGCCACTGGCATGCTACAACACTGAAGAATTAAAATTATTCCCTTCTGATACATTACGTTGTGCTTTGAATGTAGCAGTTTTCTGAATTACCTGGCAGGTAGGTGCAAACCGTGGGCCAGCATGCAGGTCTGAAGCAGTGCTGGTGCGGACAGAATTCACTGCCGATGAGTGCCGTGGGGAAGACGGGACTGAGTGCATTGGCAGGGCATGATGTTGTTGGTTGCAGCATGTCACCCCTGTTGGTGAGCTCTGCAGGAACACTGCTGGGTGGTTAGAATGTCTCACAGCATAAGCATCTTCAGTGCACACTGGGCCACATTCATGATAGCACAATGGTCTCAGTGGAACACTGAAACAAAGTGAATAAAATTCAGTTTCCTAGTATTATGTGAATCAAAGAATTAAACAACAATCTTTTTGTCATGTCCTTCTGCATAATTTCTGCTGTACACAGGTCTATGTGCATGATATCTCCAATCTCTACCCCTTCTTCCCACATTTCACTTTTGTTAACTTGCCAGTTAGATCTTCTCTTCTTACTGCCTATTAGTATCCACCCGACTGGGTGACTCTCTCATTCAGAAAATTATTCTAAAGCCCTTCTCAACATCCTTGCTCTAGCCACACTATCATTCTATTTGCATGACCAAGCAGCTGCAAACATTCCTCTTATAATTACATCCCTTCTCATTTTTCTTTCAACATCTTCCAAAAATATCATACCCCTTTCTTGGATTACAGTAGGAATAATTAACTTCCATGAAGCAACACACTCTGCTGTCCAGTGCCATACCATCCGCATATTCTCATACAACCAGCAAAACTTTCACAGGAAACATATAAGTTCTATAAAGTTACTTAATGTCCTCTGATGTAAAGAAATATGTACCATGATTGACTGAGGTATCTGATATGGTATATTGTGTGCTCCTGTCTTCAGGAAGGCTCCTTCAGCTTGTACAGTCGCACTCCAGCATATGGCGGTGGAAATCAAACACCAATGTACAGGGAGGGTAGCAAGACACCAATGCATGGTTCACAGACTCCCATGTATGATGGTAAGTGAAGTTACAGAACAAGACTTAAGATCCATTTGATGTTGAAAAGTTTGTGACATAATTTAGTATACAATTTTTGACAATTTATTATGACTGAACAAATAATGGTAAAAGCATGTCAGTTATTCAGGAGAAATAGATAACACATCAGGTCAGCCATCTAGGTCACCGAATCTTATACTGTTTGATTCTTGCCCAATGTACGTTCCTCCCTTGCCAGTGGATCTGCAAGACCTTTATGGCATGATTATGAACATAATTGCATTGTTTAATCCAGGCTTTCTGATGAGAGGCTAACAGGAAATGACAATATTTTGCAGATGTCTTTCATGTTGAATGACTGAACAAATCCTGAAAGCATAACCTAACTTAATGAAACCAGTTGCATTCCTCACTCACAATAAATTATCAGTGTTTTGCATAGAATTATGTTACATCCTTTAGGCTATAAAGAAATCATTTTGTGCACCTTTGTGAGAACCTCATATTCAACAAACTCAGCTTAGTTAAATATTTCACAATATTTAAGGCATATGCACTAAATTGGTCTGACAAATCTGGAATGAAAATTGCCATGTTCTGGCATATAGCACTGTGTAGGCCCAGAAGATTGAAATTTTCATAACTACCGCTGTGAGAACCTCAAATCCTACAAATATTGAATGTTTACACAGTGAAACAGTACCAACAAATATAAAATCATTCCAAGTAAACATGTTGGAAGAAGCCTGATGAGATGCTTTTTCACCATTACTGTAAATTCTCACTGAGGAAAACAGTGCCTGCCATTTACATATATGTCAGTATTATTTCATCTGAACTCATGGTTTTTAAGAAGCACGTAATGGTGTATGAACTTGCATGTTATGCTGTAGGCATGACACAAAGTTATTGTGGTGAATTTAAACTGAATTATGAAACATTACATCAATGCTTTCCTGTCCACATCTGCAATTTGTTAAGCTTGTTTGACGACAGAAAGTTTTCCATATTTGGATTGCAGATTGACCATCTGCAGAATATGGGTTTTCACGAGGCTTGTCTTTTTTTTTTCATTAGCCCTTGACTTTCATTGGCATTAAACTTCCTTCTGGTTGCTCAGTTGCATTTACCATTAGTATATTCAGTCACTTTTAACCTAAAAGAATTGTGAAAATGCTGCCATTATTCATATCAGCCATGCACTCTTCTTACAGCAGATGAAAAACATGTTCGGTATAAGGGAAAACAGCGGTTTATAACCAGATGTCAGACTTTCCTAGCAGTGATGAAGAATCATTGTTAGGGTTGAATATTGTGCATTGTTTGTTTCAAAATTTAAATTAAATTTTACATTTTAGAACATAGACATTGGACAGTGTCCAGAGAAAATACTTCAACAATTTGTAGCATACAAATATAGCAGTTCTTGTAGAGAAATTAAAAATTCTAAATGTTTTCTGTGGAATGCAAACTCTATGTATTATTACAGCTGGATCACGAACACCGCATTATGGGAGCATGACACCATCGCATGATGGGTCATGTACACCAGGGCAATCAGGAGCCTGGGATCCAAGCAATACTAATACTCCTGCAAGGAACAATGACTTTGATGGATACCCTCTGGATGAGGCATCACCCTCACCTAACTCTAACCCCAGTAAATTGTCATTTTATTTTCTCTACATATCTCTGTATTACCCACATAGCTGGAGGCACACTGCTACAAGCCGGAAGGTCTCTTTCTGAACACGTTATAGTTGGAATGTTGCCGACTACAGTGATACCAAATTTAGCGTTTAGTTGCTTTCCATTTTCAGTCTCTTCAGCCCTTCAGAAAGTTGTGGCTTCAAAAATATTTCATGGATACTTTGTAGAGAAGGTTGTTTTGTTGTTGCTTTTACATTACAGTAATATGTGGAACTGAGATGAGTAAAAGTGTATGAAACTTATTCCTTCCTTACTGCCTCTTGTTAATACATCTGATGGTTTTCTTATATTTCAGCATCCTGTCACATTGAGGCATCATTCTTGTTATTCACATACACTGTCAATAATGCAACAGTGACATAAAAGACACATAAAATATATATTTTTTTCACTAAAAGCGTAACTTTAATACCTCAGAATGTTATTAAATATCATAAAATTAAAGGATGCCTGTTAATGGCCCGTGTATAGCCAAAACGTGTTGCAAAACTGGAAAAACATGTAAAACAAAAAGACATTTTGAAGTATTTTGATAGTCACTCTTAGTGTATAAGATATATTTGCAGTGTCTTAATGATATTTTATGATATTTAATAACATTTTAAAGTATTAAAGTTACACTTTTAGTGAAAAAATATATATATTTTAGGTGTCTTTTATATAATTGTTGCATTATTGACAGTGTACTTGAGTAGTAAGAAGGATTGTTATTGTTATTATTGGAGGGGGTGGGTTTCCCCATGCACCGGGACCGGTTGTTGATCTATTGTACGTCCCTCTTTGATATTCTACCAGTCTCCATACCCTACCAGTACTGGTGCGTGCTATCAGCCCTGTTGAGCCAACGAGATGGCCCTTGGTACCTTGATGCTTCCCCCATCTACCAGAGGCATGGGAAACTTGCCTAATTTTGCTCAGAGGTCTCCTAGAGGCATGAGGATCTTTTACGTGCCATAAATCTACGACACGGCACCCACAGCTTAAAGTCCCTCCCGGAGGACTTGTTCCCCGCCCTTAAAAATTCCACGACCTCCGCTGGGTTTGAACCTGCGTACCTTGAGTCATGAGGTGGGAACGTTACCCCTAGACTATGGAGGCCGCTTAGTAAGAATGATGGTAGTTTTCTATTGACCATTCAACCCCACAGTGTATTTCATGATATGTGTCATGTTTGCAGGCACTCCAGGCTACCAGGCAGGGGGACCATATACTCCACAGACACTGGGTACAATGTATGGATCTGACCAGTCTTTTTCACCTTATCAGCCATCACCATCCCCCACTGTGTACAATGGTAATGTTGGTGATATTTCTCATTCTTGTTTGACATAATTGAAGTACTGTTATTAAGTAATCACATTCTATATGCTGTAACTGCTGCTCTTCCAATATTCTATGAGGTTTTCATGCAGTCATTTAATAATAATTTAGCAATCTTGGAATACTTTCACTGCTGATAACATCTTACTGATCCCTTGTGATGTGGAAATTAGCGCTTCTGATAAAGTCCCAGAAATTTGTATATGCACTCATTTATATACATGTTACTATTGACAAAACCATCTTGGATTGCTATGTGCTATGAGTGTATATGTGGAAAATATATTTCCTCCAGTAAGTGTTTATTTTGGTTTGTCTGGTTGGGGGCTGAAATGACTTATCATAAAAGACCAGCTTGTTACAAATCATTAATGTATTAAGACTTCCTGGCCTCTTGTGAAAATGGTAGAGAAACTTTGGTATTCTTAGGTATAAGTGACAGGAAAATATTTGACCAGCAGAGTGACTGTTCCTTTCTCAAGGAAGATTGTTTTGTGAGTCTTTTGCCCATGTGCATGTATGGCATAGATCTTATTTCCAACATTTCCCATTATTGAAGTTATACAGAGTAGTAAATTCATTGAAGCAGAGTACTTTTTGATTAGTTAACAGTCACTCAGTTTGTCAAGAAATTGCTGACTTTTATGGAACCCAAAAGTTCATTACCATGTTCACTAAAGCCTGCTTGTGGTGGGAGCCACAAGAATCCAGTCCACAACTTTCTGTCCTGTTTCTTTCAAAACCAGTTTAATAATGTCCTCCCATCTATGCCTGTTTTTTTTTTTTTCAAAAGGTGCCTTTCCTAGGTCCAAACAATTTTCTCAGCAACCTGTTTTGAAGTAACTTGTCATTGTGCTTTGCATCATGTTAGAAACCAAGTTTCACATCCATGTAAAAGAACAGATAAAATTACAGTTTTATTTGTTGTCATATGTTAGTGACTAGACATAGGGTTCATTTTTGATAAATGAAATTATTGGACACATATTGCTCTTAACTACAAATAATTACAGCACTTTTGTTGTTACTCTTAATCATCAAATAACTACAGCACTTCTCAAGTCTTTTAAATGTGTTACTCATGTATTCGTTTATTTGGTAATGGCTTCCAGTAATGGAGATTGCTTCAAATACCTCCATGCTCAGTGGTTTCTGTTGTTGATGGCTGTCATTTGGCAGCTGTAGGTTCAGGTTCAGGTTTGGGTAAACTGCAGCTGGTCCTCACCAGCACAGTGAATCTTGGTTCCAGGTTCCACAGGACTTGAAACCATATTTTTCTGATTCACAACCCTGAGAGTTGTGCATCTTTAGGTCTCACTGGCTCGCTTTAAATAGCTCTAGTGCAGACCAGTTTTGTGTGTACTTGTCACAGAAATGTGTTTTAACAAGCCACTGTGTAACAATGGATGTCTCCGCAACACTTCTCTGACTTTATTGTTGTGGCTTTTAGGTGTCATGTTACAATATTTTTAGCCTGTTTCACTGTTAATGTTGTATTTTAGCGTCCTGTTGCACTGATTCATGTCCATGATGTGTATGTATTGACCGTCTTCTAGTGCACACAATCTCACTTGTCACTTAACTACATGTTTCGGCATCACTGTGCCATCCTCAGATGTGTTATTTACGTTAAACTATTGCACTGCTCTCCATCATGTGTCGTTTATAAAATGATTTAAAACATATTTTCATCATGTACTGTAATAAAATTTATATATTACAATTTTGTTAAGATTTATCATGTTGTACATCGTATATCCAACTTGCGTATCATATCAATCTTCCGCTATGGGAGTCATTATTCCTGTATTTTGTGTGTACTGCATCTTGTTGGAAATACAAAGATGGATAATCGTAGTGCGTGTGCAACGGCAGATTGAAAGTATAGAATAGCAATAGTGTTATAATAGAGCGTGGNGTTTAAATCAGAGTTAAAGAATTATCTACATGCTCATTCCTTCTACTCTTTAGATGAATACTTCAATGTAAATAGAGAATGATGTAAATTTAAGTTATATTAATTTTTAAGCTAAAATTGCCTGTACTTATGTATTTAACCTTTTGACTTGTTCTGTATCCAAAGGTACTAACCTGTTTAGGATTTATAGAATGTAAATAAATTAAATTCAATTCATCCATTGCCTTTGTGTACCCTGTACCCTTACTGTCCTGTGGCTTCAGGGTCATGTCAGCGCAGCAGAGCTGTTTTTCCAATCATTTCCAAGTGTGTATGATGATGAATGGTTTGTGATGCGAATTATAAGCGACTACAAGTTCCATGTGCTTAATAAATCACTGTGTTAGGGCTGTTTTTTGAATCTGCTGTGAATTAAATTGGTAGACAGTTTTATTTTATTTTCTGGTTATGATTCATTACAAGTGACTGCAGAATCCATGCTTGTATTAAGTTGCTGTGGGTGCTGCATAAATCTTTTGTGAATTAAACTAGCTTACATATTGTCAGGTCATTGTCTATAGATGGGGTTTGGATTGGTAATCAAATTTATTGAACACTTACAGATTGTAACTACGAGTAACTGTAGCACTGTTGCTTGCAGTTCACTGCGACATGTACTAATGAATGAATGTATAAGGGTTGGGCTTTCTCGGCCCTTGCACCGCGACCTACAGTTGTCTATTGTGCTTCCACAGCATGCACTAAGTGATTAAGTCGTCTGAGTCTGCTATGTCTTCACTAGTCATTGCCTTGTGACATCCCAAAAATGTCCCCTGCTTTCATGGTCAAGTTCTTACCAGCTGGCAACTGTTCCACAGCTAACTAATTGCACTAGCTGTACTGCTTATAACATCTTGGCACAGACCACACAGAAAACACTGTTCTTCTGTTGCTATTTCCAATTGTTGCCATGCAAACATGCTTATTTGTGAAACCATTACCCAGTAATGGCTGTTGTATTTTTGCTTATCTTGCTGTCATTGCCCAGCAACGGGTCTAAATGCCATGTCTGAGGAGGAAAATAGCGGAAAAAGTGAACCTCCGGTGTCATTTTTGCCAGAACTGAAGGACATTGACGCTGTGAGGAAATACCTCATAAAGTTTAATGTCAGTAATAACATAATGGCTGCGGTAGCATAGTGGTTAAGGCACTATGCTACAAGCCGGAAGGTCGCGGGTTCAAGTCCCGATGAGGTCATTGGATTTTTTTCAATTGACCGAATTCTTCCAGTAGCACTATGGCCTTGGAGTCGACTCAGCCTCTAACAGAAATGAGTACCAGGAATTAATTAAATAATTTCCTGGGGAGTAAAGCGAGGCTGGCACGTAAGGCTGACAACCTTACTACCATCTTTGAGCCAAATGTCTAGATAATGTGGGACCCTCAACATCTTACAACCCTGTGGGCCTTCACGACCTGTTACGGGGATAGTTTTACTTTACTTTTTTACTGCCCTCAGTAGTGTCCAGAACGAGGTGTACAAGGTTTAGCATAGGGCAAAGAAGCAGCAACTTACTTTAACCTTTATCGGACGGGCCATTTAATTTCCGGTAGGGGCAGCTGGACGGAGTTTATTTAAATGCCCGCCCTTCTAGAGCAATGAAATTGTAAGCATGTTTCTAAAAATGGTGTGATTTCTGCATTTTTTATGATAAACGAACAAAATGAACGCTCCTTTAATGTAGAAAGGATATAGAATCAGATATTCTAATTTACGGATTTGAATATCTGTAAAAATTTTTTACACTGATTCCCAAAAAAAATTCCCAAAATTCATACATTTTCTGCACCATGCGTTTTAGCAGTGTAAGTCCTTGTGGCCACTTCACATTCAGTGGTGTCTCTTGTTGAAGCTTATTTATCATATGGGACATGTCGTTATGCACGACTGTAGGCGTCTGAAATCGCTCGCTTTGTAATGTGTTAGATAGACACAGGAGTTCATTCTCGGAATATGGTGTTGCCATCGGTCATTCATTCATTCATTGCAGTCAAACCATTGTGTTTGTAACGATTTTGAAACATCGCAATATAAGGTTAGCCAGCCATGACATGTACCATGTTTGAAGCAGATATTCAGTTCAGCCAAGACGTGAATGAGATTTTTGTATGTGTGGGCTCGAGGTCATGATTTATGGCTTCTTATCTTGGTCTAAGCACAGAGATTCACTGCTAGAGAGCCGTGTAGTTCACCATGGCCACACGACGACATCGTATGGAAGATGCTGAAATTGAGAAACAGCTGTTCAATGACATAGATTTGGACTGCTATTCAACTGATTCTGAGAGTGGCGAGGAAAGTTGGAGTTCTGATTCCGCGGACGAAGGGTCATCACCTTCGTTGGCAACTTGGGGACCGCCAGACCAGTGTGGCTGGAGAGGTGTGAATAATTATTCCGGTGTAGCTGCGGGGATAAATATCACTGCAGCTCGACATCACTGGCCTGCTTCCTCTAAATCGCAACTGAGGTGTCGTGTGTGCTCTTCGCGTGAGAAGCGGTCTAGTGTTCGTACGAAGTGCGTGAGCTGCGACGTCGGACTCTGCATTTCGGAATGTTTTCGGCAGTACCATACGAAGGCCACATTACCATAGATGACGCAGGAGGGAAGGCTGTTTCCTCATGAAGATGGTGAACATATATCACATAAGTAGAGCAAAAATTTAATTTTAAATTTAATTTAAAAAAAATCTTTACACGTGTGCAATGCGCGAAATCATATGAGGTCGTTCGGCCATATGACGTCGATAGATTACATTAGATCACGCAGGAGGGAAGGCTGTCACCTTATAATGGTTGTGACCAAAAATCATATAAATAGAACAACAATTTATGTTTTAAATTTAATTTTAAAAAAATCTTTACACGCGTGGAATGCGCGATATCATATTGTGACATGTTGCGCAACGGAGGACCCCTACCTCCCCAGCGGCACGTGGCGGTAACGTAGCGCTCTCGTAATAGGCGAGTCATCACCCCGCCACTCTCCCCACGGTGACGTGCCGAGCGGAGCCGAAGTTAGCCGAGTCCCCGCAACCTGGTAGCTACGTAACACGCAACGCGCGGTGACATAACAGGATGACGTGGCACTCATTACGCAACAGGCAAGCACTGCGGCTATATAAGGGAACTGCACAGCCAGCGGCTGCGAGTGAGTTGTAAGGTGGCCATTGCCGAGCTCAGTTCCAAGCGAGTTCCGAGCAGGCCTACGAGGGAATGTGATCAACAGTTCTCAAGGCAGCCACCTACGAGTTAGTTCCGAGAGGGTTCCGTATTAGCCAGCAACCAATCAGTTGTATTGTGGCATTTGCAGTGTAGTATTTGTGATACTGCAGATAGCAGTAATTGTGAATCTGTAATTTGGGTGATTGTAAGTGCGAATGTAAAATAAAATTCGCTATATCAAATACTTCGTGAAGTTATTTGTCACGTTATACCTACACAACACGTGACAATATGATGTCATTCGGCCATTTGGCCTTAGTTTTAACGTCATATGACGTCGCTAGATTACATTAGATCATGCAGGAAGGAAGGCTGTCTCCTTATAAAGGTGGTGACCAAAAATCATGTAAATAGAACAACAATTTATATTTTTAATTTAATTTAAAAAAAAAAACCTTACACGCGTGGAATCCGCGACATCATATGATGACGTTCGGCCAGCTGCCCTAACTTTTAACGACATCATATGATGACGTTCGTCCAATAAAGGTTAATGGGTGTGTGGAAGAAGTGAAACGGATTACATTTTTAATGCAGTATAATTAACTAGATTATAGCTTTAATGAAATACATTATTAATTAAGTGTATTTAATTTCAGTAGTTACATAAATTTTAATTTCTGTAATTTTATATTTTCCTTGATATATTCATTTTAAATGGTCCCTACAGAAACTTAAAGGTCCAGGTTTCATTGTATTTGAATTTTGTCATATTTGTGAAGCAGTTATTGGTTGTTCAGTTTCATGGCATTTATATTCTTAGTGAATGTTGTGTTATGGGAGGTTTTTCTGCCTGGGGATCTAAGTTTCTGCTTTAAGGTGCTATATTTCAGGTGTGTATCTCTTGTTTGACCAACATAAACAAATGGGTTCATCCTTTTGCATGCATTTGACAGTACTTAACATGAGAAAGGAATGGAACTCAATTTAAAATGCAGCAAACCAGATTCCATCTCACCTTCAGCATTAAAATATGCCATTTGCACTGGTGCATGAAAATAATATACCCATCTGAACATAGTTCAGGTATATAACTTCATATTATCAAAGAAGTAGGACCCAAGTGTTATTCTTTGGTTTTAAATGTACCCATTTCTGAACCATAATATAACACTGTAACCATTTACCAACACATCTGCTCAGTGTAACAGAATGGTTCATACTTAACCCATAAAGTACTTAAAAATCTGTTTCTTTTATGTATCTCTGTGCTTTGTTTGAGTGTTTCTCTTATCACTTCCACTGAATATCAGTTCTAATTTAAATTGATAGGAGATCAATCTACAAAAAATGTGCAAGTAATTATTTACAAAATAAGATGTTCTGTATTACAGGAACGCCATCTGGATATGTAGCAACACCCAGTCCATCTGGATACACTCCGTCTCCTACAAGTGCTGCACCATATGGTACACCATTCCCACTGGGATACAGCCCCATGATCCCTGGAGCAGCCCCATCTCCATATAATCCTCAGACACCCGGTGCAGGCCTTGATCAGCCAACAGCATCACAGTCGGAGTGGCAGACAACAGACATAGAAGTCCGCATCCGGGACACGCATGATGATGCTGGATTAAGTGGGCAGACAGGAGTGATCAGAGGGATATCTGTAAGTTGGCTCTTTTCTGTTTTACAAGGAAATTTCATCAGTGATAAGGAACATAGAAAATAGAAAACTAAGATGGAAAAACATGTTGCCCCACAGAAGAAGAGGGAGACATTCTTGTAAGTGGAGAACATGTACCAAGTCTATTATGGAAGGTCAAACTTTCGAAGAGGGTAGTGGTCATAGGTCCCAGGTTCGATTCCCAGCGCTACCAGATTTTCTGAGAAGTAGTGGGTCTGNGTAGCAATTCCAGTTCAGTAGAAACACACTCGGGGGGGAGGGGGCAGCCTGAAAATATGGTGGGGGTGGGAAAAGCCCGCATTCAGTTGTTTACAATGACTTTGTGTGTCTGAGCTGTATAGGTCATTGGTAATCACCAGGGCCCGGATTCTGATGACATGTCATCTTTTTTTTTCATTTTATCCTATGCAATGCCCTTAAATATGTAAATCTCGGATATGAGCTGCTGGTTACAGAAATGTAAATTTTATAGGTGATTTTTTTGACATTTTTAGGTTTAAGGTCATTTTTTCATTTTGGGGGTAATTTTTTGGAGTTTTAAGCGCATTTTTTGTCATTTTTGGCCATTTTAGGGAATTTTTCTTAATATGTTTTCTGAAATGTGAATAACATGGAAGCGAAGAGTTCTTTCTTTTCTCCTTTAGGTCATTTTTCTGGATTTTTTCAGTCAATTTTTGAATATTTTCAGGTCATCAAAATCTGGGCCCTGCATATTACATTTTTCTGGATTTTTTTGGTCATTGTATAGGTCATTTTTTTAAATATTTTCAGGTCATCAAAATCCCGGCCCTGGTAATAACCCTCAAATGAGTTTCGGTTGAACTTGCATAGTACTATTACTGCTGTTACAATATTGATCTTTCTGAGACTAGTCCAGTTTGGTGAATGTATGGTACACATGGCAGAACCACCATGTGACATTTCTTGATATGGGGCTTTCCCTAATTTAAAATTCAGCTTCATTGATAAGTCAATCTCAGTGTTCAAATCTCCATTTAAGATTTTCATCAATTTAATATTGAAATTCACTGCTCTCTAATGAAATTGTAAATGGTCCTATGTATGTTGTTATTACACTAACCAGTTTAAAGGAAATCGATTAAGCTGTTTCAGTCTCCATAGTCAGCCCCACGCTAACGTCATATCATACATGTGTCAGTATTTATTTGCAGTGTACAACTTCACAGTATTGTCACAGTGATGTTAACTTTCCTGCATCAGTTGTTCCTCTTGACGATTGTGGTTTCTAGCAGTAATCTTAAGTCATTATAAGTCTGAAGGGGAGAAAATTTAACAGTATCATACATACAGTAAAAACTCATTAATTATTTTATACTCCAAAATACCATGCAGTTCAAAGTCAATGTCAGCCCCATCCAAGAACTTATAATTTGGTGTGTTTCTATTACTGATATTGAAAAAATTGGCAAATTTGTAATTCAGATTAATAATTAGTAAAATCTGAATATCTTAAAGTTATAAATGTTGTTATATAAAATACTTTACATCATGCTTTTTAATAGTCTGTGCATCTGTACAAGTTCACAACTAACATGGAATCTACGAGGGTAATTCCAAAAGTAAGGTCTCCTATGTTTGAAAATATAAAATAAACATTTATTTTCAATTTTGGATACATCAGTTGAATCTTGAACATGTACTCATTTCTCTACATAATCGCCATTTCGGTCGATGCATTTTTGTAGGCGCAGTGGCAGTTTTTGTATGCCCATGTCATACCAGTTCACCTCCATGCTGTTCAGGAAACTTCGAACCTCAGCTTTCACCTCATCGTCGTTGTTGAAGCGCTTTCCAGACAAATGTTCTTTCAACTTTGGAAAGAGATGGTAGTCACTGGGCGCCAAGTCCGGACTATAGGGTGGATGGGTGATGATGTTCCATCCAAACTGTTGCAGTTGAGCGACGGTTTGTCGGGCAGCATGGGGGCGAGCGTTATCGTGGAGAATGCTTAC